GTAAAATATATAGTTCTTTAGCCCCTATGGAGTGACAGTTGGCACAGTGCTTATATCCTCTGAATAGGCCATAGAATAGGGTCTAATGCCTTCACGGGGCTTCATGCCATCTCATGATCTTAAACTAAGTTACAGCATTACACTATGGTCATTGCTTGGCACAAAGCTTTGCTAGCGTAAGATTAGTTTAAAAGCCTCCTGTGGGGACAGTGAGGTGGCTCAGTGGCAAAGACCACTTTCCCCATGACTGACCACCCTTGTGCCATCTGAACTCCTGAAAACTGGCCCCTGACTGTCACAGTAGCAATGTGGAAAGCATGTTCACACACAGACTCTTATAAAAACACTAAGAGCACATTGTGCATCTTTCAGTTTCTCAAAGCTCACAAGAGGAGCTGTGTACTGAGAAGTGGAAAGACTGACAATGTACGGAGTGCAGATTTTGGCTTTGTATGTTATTGAGTAAATTCGAAAGTTGAAATTTTATTCTAATCCATACACATCTTTTACTATAACAACCAGTACCAAAAAAATGTCTTTTTCATCTCTGGTTAGCATCTGAGATCCAGCAAAACCATAAATGTTTGAGTTTGGAAGTTTAAAACACTAACAGCATCAACCTGTAGGAAAGGTCTATAGGCTTTGGTGCAGAACTCTACAAAGACATGTATTCAAACAAATTCACATACACAAGTGTATGTATGTTATTCTTACCTGATTTGACCTGTAGAAATTCTGACTGTCTGCTCTTCTCTGTAATCAACTAATATTATAACACACTGAGCAAATGAACCCTGGTGGCAGAAACCATTAGAAAATGCACGTACTTTGGCTCTATAAAGCATACATCTTAGCATTTGCAATTCAGCGCATTCTCTAGTTTCGCTGAGGTGTGTGGTATGCTTGTAGAACCTATAGATGCAACACTGGGCAGAAAGCAGTCTAGGGGATTGGAAGTTCCATGTGACTCAGATTAATATTACCAATTGATAACACTGACCTTATAAAATATGTGGTTCTGTCTCTCGCAAGTGGTAAGTACATGTTACATTCTACCATTTTTATAGTAGCTTTAGCCTAATCACAGTCATTTAGATCTTGGAGTCTTAATCAATTTTTAAAAAATAAGAAATGCTTGTAGTTGCAGTTTTTAACATTATTATTGAATGTAATATGAAAGATATAATGTTTCCTATCCCCATAAAATAAAGTTTTTAATACTTTCATATCCTGCATTTTCAAATAATAACCAATATGGTGATATTTCTAACATATCTTCATCATAAATTTGTCCTAAATGTCATTCAAAAAATACTTCAAGATATTTTAATATCTACAGGTAGTAGAGTACTATATTGTAATTCTATTTACAATATTCTTGAACTTAGATTAACTAGGTTAAACTGTCTTTATAGTATGCAATACATAGTACCTTTTCAACTTCTGCATCTGAAAATTTTTGAAAAACCCTAGCCTTATAACAATACCTGTGTTAATTGCTTTTTCCCAACTCTGTTTTGCTAACTAAAGCATACACTACAGGACTGTAGATGACCTAGTATCACAATGCCTCAAACATAACAGAAATCTTAAATTATTGTATAAACAAATGATTATGTGATGGACAATTGCCTTTTGTTTTTTAAGTCCAGACTTAAATGGTTTATTTTGAGTTTACATTGGGTATTTAATCGCATTAAAAGTGCTTGCCAACTCTACTGTGTCCTTTCTCCAACACAAGACCTTACCTATTAAGAGTTAAATACTAGGAAATGCTATCAGTATTCGCTATATGGCTCTACCTGTACTTAAGTTCGCTGAATTTTCTGTTCAGAAAAACTGGAAAAAAATAAATTATAAAGAAAAATTCAACTAATTAACCTATTTGACACTGATTCTAAAATATGAAAGGCACGTCTTATATTTATGAGTTTCCCTATACTTGTTTTGTATAGGTGAATCAGTCACTTTTAGATTCTTTGTTATTGTTTGCTCCTAAATTTTTTTTCTTGTGGATTATATTGAATTCTATTAAATTAACCTTTCCCTGAAGATGATTAATGTGTAAGCTACATTTATTTTATTTCACATAATTAGTCTAGCTGCAAATTAAAACTTGAGATACACTGGTATGAACTTCTGTATCTGAAAGGATAATAATCTTTTATTTCAAATCTAGAAGCCACTAGTAATTCACTCTGTCACATCATCTACACAATTCATATCTCAATTTCTCAGCGTGCTGATATGCAGCACAAGGTTGAAAGCATTGTTCAAATGTAGATAAATATTGTCTATCTGGCTTCCTTTATCCACTCTGTTATCTCAACAAAGCCATTGTATTAGCATAGCAAAAGCTGTACCTTGCAATTTCACTTTGCCTGTTATGCATTCCTTTCCTTTGAGTGTTCTTAAATCAATAGCATATTATGTTCGGGAGCATTGTGTCTGAGATAGAAGTCGGGCTGTATACCAAAGTTTGTCCAAGGTAACTTTTGTGCCTTACACTCCTCCAATTTGAGTACTTGCCATTGTCCTTCCACAGAGCTCAGTTGGTTCTCCACTTGCTGATATCCCTAGCACATGTTAAGGGGCCTTCATTCATAAGCCATTCACGAGCTCTTTTCACTCTATTAGAGTTATCTAAAGATACATCTTTTAGTCAAAGGAAACAGATAATTCAAAGTTTAGTTTTACATTTTGCCTCCTTAAAGTTAAGTACTTTTTTCTAATCAGGTTGTATGTCAGGAAATGAATATTAAATATTTCAGTTTGATTCTTTTTTTTATTTTGACTTGAAGAATATCTCTCTTTGGCTCTTCTTTTCCCTGTGTATATTCAGAAATGTTCTGGCTATACGTGCTCAGTTTTTTAAATCGTCTTGACATGTACCTGAGACTGGCCTGGAAGTTACTAATGGAGCTCAGGCTGCCGTCAATCTCCCCACATCATTCATGTAACGACACATCATATAATGGCACACCATGTCATTCTATACATATGACAACACACCCAGCTTTCTTAGCATACTTTTAAAGTAGATAATTGAAAACAAATTTACCTTCTAGTATGTGTTGATACAACGGCTTGGGTTTTCCAAATGTTATTTTTATACTTAATTTAATATTCATTTAAGGGTATTAATTATGTTTTAATTATTTACAAACATAATGGTCTTTCATTGCACTTTATTTATCTCTAATGAATTTATTTGGTATAAGGATAGCGGCTTTTGGATTCTTTCCCCCTAATGTTCATTCAGAAATGCTCTATCTGCTTGGCTCTTTTTTTTTCTTTTTTTAACTTTGAATATTTTTGTTTCCAAAAAACTCAGGAACTAATGCTAAATTATTCATGGAAGTGGTAGATAGTGAAAATGTGGACATAATGAGACAGTCCTAACAAAGACTGAAGGCAAGCTGCAAGTCTTGTTTATTTAAGTTAGAACTCAAGTCTTTTGTCACAGTTGACTGATAAGAAGCAAATTAGCCTTAATTTCCTCTTTCCTCCCTTCCTCTCCAATAATCCTCTAATCAAAGTGAGATTATGAATAATAGAGACTAAAGGGAGAGGCTGTTCCAGCAATGTTCTCAATATTTTACATATTTTAACTCCAGTGAATCCTCAGAAGCTCTAAGTTTTGTAGTATTATATTATTCCTGTAATGTGTGGGGTACTGGCCACAGGACACAGTCTTAATCACCGTCTATAGAGCTAGTAAGTGATGAAGATTCTCCTTAAGCAGGCATGAATCACAGCCTTACTCTGAGTGTTTAAAAAGTAGCATAGTTAAGAGTGTGAGAACGGCTGACGGGGGAAGGGCCCTTTCTGTAAATGAAGAGGGTGGGGTCCAAATCTCCACAGACGTGTAAAAGCCGAGAGGGGCTGTGCCTCCTGAGACTCCAACTCAGGATTTGGAGTCTCAGGGGACAGAGACAAATGGATCCCAGGGGTTTCTGATGGCCAGCCTAGACTAAACAGCAAGCTTCCAGTTCAGAGAGACTTGTCTCGTTGGTAAGATGGTAAGTGATAGAGGACGTTGCCCAGTGTTCTCTCTGGCTTCTGCATCCATGTGCATGGGCACACATTCTCCTACATGTCCACATACATCACACACACACACACAGAATATGGCTTCATTCTTCCTTCCTCTATGCTTTGTCTTCCTCTCTGAATCTTGCATTCCACCTCCTAAGCATCTGTGTGTTACAGTGTTCTTGTCCTTACTTAGAGCTGTTCCCATATTGTGTTTTGTCATTTGGTGTTCTGGAATTCCCAGATGAAGTACTCCAGGCACAAGCTTGTGTTTTAGCAGGGTATCAGTGTCCTTTTCCTATCGTCTTTATCTGCTTTTCTCTCATTAGACTGGCCAGTTTGTATGAACTCTTTCAGTGTCCCACCTACCTCTAGTATTTCAGGACCTATATTAGAGCCATCCTTAACATCTCATTTCTCAGACTCCCTGCTTAGAGATTTTGCCCATCCCAGCGCTTTATGGTTCTTAGTCTTCCATATTTGGAAGAAAAACTGTCCCCCTCTTCCCCTCTACTGTGATTCAGCACCTAAATCCAGAGAAAAGCATGAGTGCTTGGAGTTCTTCCATATTTTTAAAAGAAGATTGGGGTAACTATAAAAGAAAACCCCGAAACTGACCATAGTCACACATGCCTGTCTTTGAAGCACTTGCTGAGGTGAAAGAGAAGGATGTAAACAACAAGGCCGCCCTTGGCCACACAGTGAGATTGAGACTGTCTGAGATATAGGAGATCCTGTCTAAATCCATAAATAATGACTGACTAACTGTGGTAACGGGTACTGGCTATCCTTTAGGAGTCAATGTTTGTCCAGTTGGCATGTTAATATAAGGCTAAACAACTAGAAAACTTGCTCTCGGTGGCCTCAATTCTGAGTTGGCTACCCATTGTGGTGTGCTGTAATAGCGCACATTTAAGTCCTCAAGAGAACTTCCTACTTTGACTTACCATTAGGAAGTTCCACTA